ATACATAAGGAACTTACAACTCAACAACAACAAAAACAGCCCAATTCAAAACTGAGCAAAAGACCTGAATAGGCATTCCTCCAAAGAAGGTATGTAGTCAACAAGCACACGAAAAGATGTTCGACATCACTAATCATGAGGGAAATGCAAATGAAACCACAGCGAGATATTACTTCATAGCCACTGGATGGCTACTGTCAAAGCAGAAAATACCACGTGTTGGTGAGGATGTGGAGAAATTGGAACCTTGGTGCGTTGCGGATAGGAATGTAAAATAGTGCAGTCACCATGGAAAACAGTATGGCTGTTCCTCAAAAAGTTTAAAATAACTTTACCATATGATCCAGCAATAGTACTTTTAGGTATACACACAAAAGAACTGAAAGCAGTCTGGGAAAAATATTTGTACCCTCATGTTCATTGCAGCATTATTCACAGTAGCTAGAAGGTAGAAGCAACCCAAGTGTCCATCGGCAGACAAACACGTATACACAATTTGGTATGTACATACAATGGAATACTATTCAGCCTTAAAAAGGAAGGAGATTCTGACACATGCTACAACGTGGATATCATACTAAGTGACATGAACTAGTCATAAATACACAAATTTTGTATTTCACTTATAAGAGGTATCTGGAGTGGTCACATTTAAGACGTAGAGGAGGAAATGGGGAGCTGTTTAATGGGTAGAGTTTCAGTTTGGAAAAATGAAAATGTTCAGGAGATTCCACGACAGTGTAAACAGCTTTACCAATGCAGAACTATACACTTAAAAATGGTTTAAAAATTTCATGTTATATGTATTTTTACAATTTTTAAAAATAAATTTTAAAAAGGAAAAAAGTTGACAGAAGATTCGGATAGACGTTTCTCCAGAGAAGATACACGAATGGCCTAAAAGCTCATGAAAAGATGCTCAACATTAACATCATTATCCATTAGGAAAATGCAAACCAGAACCAAAACCTACTCCCCAGCATAGCAATAATTTTTGAAAGTGGGAGCATGAGGGGAAGCAGCATTGGTGAGGATAGGGAGAAACTGAAGCCCTCATACACACGTTGCCAGCGGGGATTTAAAACGATCCGTACTGCCAAAAGGGTAGAACTGTAATTTCCAGATCAGGCTAACCTGCGAGGTGGTTTTTTCCTACATTTTTTTTTCCCGAGGATTGCCCGATGTGGCCTGTTCATTCTTCATGAAAATTCTGTTTCTCTTTTGGCTCCCACTCAGTGTCCCTATAGGGTGTAGGGTACCAAGGGACTGACTCTGAAGCTGGACTCCAGACGTTTAGGGTCTTGCCCTCCCTCGACTCTGAAGCCACAAAGGGCAGACCTCTTCCTTCCCTCCACGCATACGCCCGCATGCAGCTGGTCAGGGGACCTAAGTGCCCTCTGCTCTCCAACGCTGCCCTCGCCTCGTTTTGCTCATGTTGACACTGACTCAACTCCTGAGATGGTTAATCCACCCAGTCTGAGCTCACTGGCCAGCCCGCCTGCCTCCGCCATACTCACTACTCTTGGGGAATGCTTCATTCTCACGAGATCCAGTTGGGAACTCACCAAGTGATAGTCACAAGATGATTCGAAATGTCAGGTGCGGGACTGCTGGGGCGTGAGAACGTGTGTGAAATGTCCACGTACTCAGTATGTACAGCAGGAGGGGAGCAGACAGTCCACCTACTTTGCAGGAATTTTGTGAGACTTGAATGTTAAGGAACTGTCACTGCTATTTTTATCGGCTTCACATCTGTTGTGTTTTCAGACCCTCAAAGGCTTCGTGCCCGTGTGCACAGAATGATGGTGAGGAGAGGCACTGCCATGCCCTGGGGTATACTCTTCCTCACTCGCTTCTGACCCAACCTATCTGTCCCACCCTGCATTCTAGGCCATTGAGCTCTATCGACAAGGTTCAGAAGAGGACTTTATGGTGCAGGGAAGAAGTGGGCCTTTTGCCAAGCAGCCAGTCAGGCCATGACAGTGTAACTCCAGACAAGAGCCCCACAAGGGATCAGGTCCAGGTCTGGATAACTAGATACCTTCCTTGGACCAACTCCTAAGGGTCAAAGGCCACCTAGAGCAGAGCTCCATAGAGCAAACAAGAGGTCTTAATCCTAAAATCAGAGTTCATTTTTGGTATCTCATATTCTCCACTTGTGCTCTTATTAATTCTGAGCTCTCAGACTTGGTACTCAGCCTCTGAATAAGCCCACGGGCCTAAAGTAGGTTCAGATTCTCGGCAGCAACCCACCTCCCTCAGCCAAGTGACAGCCTCCCTCTGAAGCCTCTCTACTCCTGCTTCTGGGATGCTTCTCCCTAATCTCTCTGACTAGCATCTCCACGGGCTGTGCACTCAATAAGATGCCTGGCTCAGGCCCTTCTTATCCCTCACGTAGGATACTGAGGAACTCTTTGAAGGTAACATACAGCTCCAGAAGGAACGACACAAGTATGCTCACTTTCACTTCTAGTCAACATAATACTGAAATTGTAATCAGAGCGATTGGGCAAGAAAAAAAGCATCCAACTTGGAAAAGAAGTAAAATTGTTTGCAGATGACATATGTAGAAAATCGCCAACTCCATAAAAAATCTTAGAACTAATAAATGAACCCAAATAAGTAGAATATACAAAGTCGACACACAAAAATCAGTTGCATTTCTATATACAAAATGAAACATCTGAGAAGGAAACAACGAAAACAATTCCATTTGCAAGAGCATCAAAAATAAAATACTTAGAAATTAACCAAGGAGATGAAACACTTACACAATGAAAATTACAAAATGTTGCTGGAAGAAATTAAAGATAGCATAAATAAATGGAAACACATCTAGTGTTCAAAGAATGGAAGACTTAATACTGTTAAAATGTCACCACTAACCAAAGTGATCTATTCAACACAATCTTTATCAAAATCCCAATGACAGTTTTTACAGAAACAGAAAAATCCACCCTAAAATTCATATGGAATCTCAAGGGATCCCCAACAGCGAAGACAATCTTGAAACAGAACAAAACTTGAGAAATCACACTTTCTGAATTTTCAAAATTTACTGGAGCTACAGTAATCAAACGTGTGGCACTGTCATAAAGAGAACAGAGATCAGCAGAATAGATAGCTTGGAAATAAACCCTTGCATATATGGTCAAAAAATTTTGGCAAGGGTGCCAAGACCATAAAATGGTGAAAAGACAGTCTTTTCAACAAATGGTCCTCGGGAAACTGGATAACCACAAAAGAATAAAGGTGGACCTTTACCTAACAGCATATCCAAAAATTAACTCAAAATGGATCAGGGACCTAAATGTAAATCCTAAAACGATAAACAAGAAAACACAGAACAAAAACTTCAAAACAGTGGATTTGGCGATGATTTCTTGGATGTGACAACAAAGGCATAGGCAACAAAAGAAAAAATTTACAAACTGTACTTGATGAAAATTAAACAATTTTTTACACCAAGAGACGCTATCGACAATAAACAGGCAAAGCACAGAATGGGAGAAAATATTTCCAAATCACATATCAGATGAAGGATTAATATCCAGAATACAGCGAGAACTCCTAAAACTCAACAAAAAACGACCCAATTCAAAAATGAGCAAAGACCTGAACAGACATTTCTCCAAAGAAGATATACACATGGCCGATAAGCACGTGGAAAGATGCTAAACATCACTAATCATTAGAAAAACGTAAATCAAAACTACGAGATACCACCTGACACCCATTAGGATGGCTACTATCAAAAAAAAACAAAATAGAAAAAAACAAGTGTTGAAGAGGATATGGATGAATGCAAAAAGCAGCCACTATAGAAAACAGTACATAGGCTCCTCAAATTTAAAAATAAAATTACCAGGTGACCCGGCAATTCCACTTCTCAGTATGTACCCAAAAGAACTAAAAATGGGGTCTCAAAGAGATATTTGTACACCCGAGTTCTAGCAGCAGTATTCACAATAGCTAAAACATGGAAGCAACCCAAGCGTCCACGGACTGATGAGTGGGTAAGAAAATGTGGTATATAAATACAATACATTATACAGGCCTAAAAATGGAGGAAATTCTGACACATCCCTAAGACATAGATAAACCTTGAGAACATTATGCTAAATGAAATAAAAAATACGAATGCAGTACTATTCCACTTATACGAAGTATTTAGCATAGACAAACTCATAAGAACAAAAGGCATAGGTGGTTGCCAGAGGTTGGGGGGAGGGGAAATGTGGAGTTATTGCTTAACAGGTAATAGTGTTTCAGATTTACAAGCTAGTCATAGTGATGGCTGACAGTGATGGTTACACAACAGTGTGAATGTATTTAGTTAAAAGTGGTAAGATTAAATAATACATGGTAAGATAAACTTTTATGTGCATTTTCACACAATGAAAAAGAAAAAAACGACCATGAACAAAAAACCATATAATTTAGTTACATTCATGCAATGGGATACCACATAACAAAAACGAATGGCCTGCAGGGCAGATCGGGCAGTGCTGGATGGAGAAAACAAGACAGAAAAGACCATATCCAGAATGACTCCATTTATCTAAAGTCCAAAGGCAGGTGAACTAAACTGTATCGTGTGAGGATTCAAACAGGGTGGCACGGTTGTAAATGAAAACACGCACACGAATAAGGCGACCTGTAGCGATGCCCCATCTTGGAACTACCTCAGAATCAACTGGAGTGGCGTGGGAACGAGGAGCTGTAATATCGGCCCAGGCCCAGGCCCCACAGCCCCACGGCCCCACAGCCCCACAGCCCCACAGCCCCACAGCCGTCATGCGCCCCTGGAGCAATAGCGGTTTCAGTTTCGCTGTCTGATACTGGTCTTGGGCACCTGTTTCCAAAGCTCTCTAAGTGTTTCAAACGTGAGGACAAAGTTGAGGACACTGCTCTAAGGTGAAGCTGTGGCGGGGAAGGGGAAATGAGGGGCCAGGTGCTGGCAATGGTTTTCCTTGACCTGGGCGGGAGTGTCACAAGTGTTCGCTGTCTAATTTTTTATTGTACTGTATGCACATTTCATGCCCTCATCTACATGTCGGCTCTTCTCTTTCTCCACAGCATACACGTAGGTGTTCCAGGGCCCACAGCTCACAGCCATTACTTGGAGCTGCTTATCTACAAAGTATTCCACACGGCAGGGCCGATCCCAGCTGGTTGTGTCCTTGTGGCCGAGCTGTCCGTATTTACCTACAGAGAAACCGGACCCTTGGCCACTCTTTCCTCGGGGCTTGTCTCCCCCAGGAAGGACAATCAGCCCATCCACACAAATTCTGAGCTAAAGCCACCACCCTGCAGGAGTGTGGTGCGGATTCAGGAACCCAGCGCCACAGCCTCAGGGCAGGCAAGCCTGCGGGTCTGGAAGAGGTGGCAGCCACCACCTCTCCAAGCCAGGAGCCCCTCTAGGTTCCCTGCTCCTAAGCCCAGACGCTTAGAGCAGAGATTTTTGTTATTATCTTTTTCTCTGCCAGCACCGAACCAAAAAATGGTTCATAAATGCTAGCTAAATATTCCCTTAAGACAAAAAGGTTTTCAGAAAGAGAGCTGGAATTTTCATCTGACCTTCTGAGTGTGCCTGTGTGTGTTCTAGAGAAGGGAATACGCAGCCCTGGAGTCCCCGTCCTCCCAAGTGTCCGCATGGCTCTTGTCACCTGCCCTCCATTCCCAGGTCTTTCTTTCTCTTGGTTTAAGCATCACAAAAACAAAGATCTTACTTACCCCAGCCCCAGGTGTAGAGTTCCCCAGTTCCTGCAACGAAAAGGACAGTAAAAAGCTGTCACCACTGCTCTTTGACAAGGTGTTTGCCTAGCTTGTCCTGCCACAAGCCATAACCACCACGTTGTAAACTGTCATGACATTTGCTTGGCAAAGCACAATCTCTAACAACTGTCTAATCACACTGGGGGGAGCGTAAAGATCCAGACGAACACGTTAACTTCCTATATGCCAGCTGACTGGCCTTAATACACAGCTACTGAGCTAAGAGTCTTAGAAGCTGGACTGGGCAGACCTTGCTGTCAGATGAAAAGGATGGCCAGGGACGTGTACGTGCCTGTGCACGGAGGCTGGAGAACACCAGTCTGCCCCACGAGGAAGAACCTTTGGAGACAAGCTGGAAAGCCAGCTGGAACCACGTGGAGGCTGGGGTTCCATGTGCTGAGGCAGCTACTCAGTACATGTCAAAGAGGCTTAAAATAGTGGTGCTTTAGATTGTCACAGTTTTCTTCAGCCACCAGCTAGAGTGGGGTGGAGCGACTTCCTGTTCCGTCCTGAACCAGCCCACCCAGCTCCACTCACTTGTCACTACTGCTGTGTGCCGGGATCCACAGCTGGCCTTGACTGCATCTGAGCCCAGGGGGAGATCCAGTAGAGCTGGGAAGGGCTGGACAGATATGAAGGCGGCGGGGGCTCCATCCTCAGCTTCAACAATTCTGTTCTCTTCAGAACCATCTTTGTTCAGTCTGATGGCTTCAGAGAAATGATAAGAGTGATGAGGATAATGATGACTAATGCTAAATATTCGTCTAAAGCTTATTCACACAGTAACTCATTTAATACAACAGCATTATGAAGCACATTATTCTCTAGCTCCAAAGCTGATGCTTCCAATCCCTACATTCCCAGGAAGTGGTAGCGTGGACACGTGTGTGGAGTTAGTGTTGACACTGGCATCAGCCTTACCATGCTCCCTCCCAGAGTCCTGCAGTGTGTCCTCGGGTACCGAGGACATCACATGCCCCTTCTGAGCACTGTAAGCTCTCAGGCCAGCATATGGCCAGGAGTAGTAATGGCAGAAACGTGTGGAAGTCGAGCTGAGCCTCACCTTGCCCTGCTACGGCCTTTTTGTCCTCCACCAGGCTTCTGGTAGGCAGGGCCAGCTGCCCTGATTCATTCCAGCCCCAGATATAAATGTCCCCAGTCTCTGAAAGAGAAATAAAAGGACCCATTAAAGAGACTGTGAGCCCCCCTTGCATCCATCCGAACTCCCCTACCCCTCACTAGCTCCCTGGAGACGACTTGAGGCCCGCCCCAGTCAGCACTCCAAGGAGGGTGTCTCCCTCGGGGCCCAGCAGCGTCCTCGTACTAACAAGGTCCCTTCTCCCTAAAGTACCTTCAAGTCACCATTCTCTTTAAAACACGTCTCTTGCTGGAACTTCCTCCCCATTTTCACTTTTTCCCTTTGAAATTGCCCCCCTTCTCTGTACCACCACACAGACACGCACAGTTCAGAAAGGTGCCCTTAGAGGTTCTTTCTGCAGCCCCCTTCCCCCACCATGGAAGGCCTCCTACCTGAAGCTCCCACCTTCCTTGTCTCCAGAGAACCACAGTTTGTTGTTTGGAGCAACAGCCGTAAGCTAAAAATTCACTAATAGTGGCTCTTCCTTCGTTATCAATGGTTTAGTCTGTGCCAGTTTTAAGCACTTCTCAAATATAACCATTTAATTCTCACGACAGCACAATACGATTATATGATAATAGCCCCCTCTTCCACAATATTTCCATTTTATTCACAAGAAAGCTTGAGGCAGACAGAGATAAATCAAGGGGCAGAATGATGATTTGAATTGAGGAAGTCTGCGTTGAAGCATCCGGGCTACAAACACGATACCAAAAGCCTGAAATTTCTCCTGGACGTTACATGTGAGACTTGCCACTGGGGTGTTTCCAGCCTCTGCTCTCTTCCCTGCAGCCCAGGATGACGCGGGGGCGGGGGCGGGGCATAGGCAGAGGTAGCCTTAAAGCCCCCAGGTGATGTAAGTCGCAGCCAGAGGCCCAGATACAGAAGCTTGAGAAGAGCACGGGCTCCGGCTCCCACTCAACAGTCCTGGATCAGCAACAGCTGGACCAGGCTGGTGGACTCACAGTCCCAAGTGAAACACCTCATTTTGGTCCCAGGCAGGGCTCACAGACATCACCGTCACCCTCTCTGTGGGCACCTGAGTGTCCCGGGTGTGCCACAGGTCATGGCCACCTACACGCCTGCAGCTTCTTTCCCCACTCTCCTTGGCTGGGCTGCCACCTCGCTCCTCCGTTCTAACTTAGGAGTAGTTGAGACAGAGCCCCGGCTGGAGGCGGACGGGCCGGACAGTGGGACCAGTAACGCGAGGCAGGCGCGGTCCCAGGGTGAGTGGGCGACGGTGGTGGCAGAGGGGCTCACCTTGAAAGGCATTTAGGAGTCACGATGTAGGACAGGCTTGGCGGGAGGCCTGCCCGCCCCCGCCCCCCCCCTGGAAGGAGGGGAAGGAGGAAGGTTTGGAGCCCACAAGACCCGCTGGAGCTTTGGAGAGGCGCCAGTCACTCACCGCTCACACACACGGAGTGCCAGCCACCTGCCGCCACCCCAGCCATGGGCAGGCCCTGCAGCGCCTCCAACAGCCTCGGCTCCGGCTCTGCCTCCAGGGTCCCGTGGCCCAGCTGTCCATGCCTGAGCGAGGAGCCCCAGTCGGCTCGTCACATCGAGGGGTCTCCCCGCCCTCCTCCCGCACACGCTCGCCTCCCACCCCCGCAAGAAGC